CTAAACCCTAAACCCTAAACCCCAAGCTTCGCCTGTGAACCTCTAAACCCTAAACCCTAAAAAAGCTGAAGGACTTACTTGGGAGTAGGCAATCAGTTGGGTTGCAAAGCCCTGCTCGCCCTTTGCAGCTGCCAGGCCCACCAGCTGCAGCAGCACCAGCAACAGCAGCAGAAACGGGAGCAGCAGCAGCAGCAGCATCAGCAGCAGTGGTAGCAGTGACAGCAATAGCAGAAGCAGCAGCAGCAACAGCAGCAGCAGCAACAGCAGCAGAGCAAAAGTGCGAAATCAGTAAACCTCTCTTCTACTGTGTAGAGATCACACGGTCCAGACGCCAACGCAGTGCACCCCAATGGGGTTTAGGGTTTAGGGTTTAGGGTTTAGGGTTCAAGGACTCCGCAGGGTTTAAGGCTTGCCTGCAGAAAAAGGCTTATAGGATTTCTCCCACAGACGGAAAGGCTCGTGGCCTCTAAATAGTTGAAAAACCCTAAACCGCAAACCCTAAACCCTAAACCCTAAACCCTAAATCCTAAACCCTAAACCCTTAAGAAAAAGCAATAAGCCTACAAAGTGCTTCTTGTAAACCCTAAACCCCTTGCACTATAAACAGCTGCCAGAAACAATAAGACTTTCTTCGGCCCTACGGGCCACGCCTTAGGGTTTAGGGTTTAGGGTTTAGGGTTTAGGGTACCTTCGCTCTGGTGCTCTGTGATGAACTGAATTGCCTTCATGTCCATTTTCTGCAGCACAGCAGCTGAGCCAAACCCTCGAAATTCCTTTTATTTTCAACTTCTTTTAATTTCTTTAATTTCTTTAATTTCCTTTCTCTTTTTCTTTTTTTCTTTTTTTCTTTTTTTCTATTTCTGCTTCAATTAAACCTCCAAACCCTTCGAAGGCCCGGTGGCCGCGCCGTTGGCTGCTCAATTTGAAAATTCCGGTTTTGAGTTAGGGTTTAGGGTTTAGGGTTTAGGGTTTAGGGCTGGGTCTAGACCCCCACTTCTATGCTCTTGTGTATCGGGATTTCAGGCAAAGGCTCCTCCAGGTAATAGTAAGAATATCTGGGGCCCCAAATACAGACACACCTCAAACCCTAAACCCTAAACCCTAAACCCTAAACCCTAAACTCTAGGCCCTAAACCCTTGAAAAGTGCTTACCGAGGCCCCCAGTGGCAGAAGTCAGAAGATATTATGAAGAGGTTTCTCTGAACAGTCAGAAAACGTACCCCGAGCCTCAAACCCTAAACCCTAAACCCTAAACCCTAAATCCTAAACCCTAAACCCTAAGCCTCACTTCCTCTAAAAAGTACTTTAGCAACAAATCTGCGAATTTCTGACAGTCGTCTCGGCCCCTCAAATCGCCAACAACCATTGGCACGATTTTCACATCCCTGCAGTCGCAAACCCTAAACCCTAAACCCTAAACCCTAAACCCTAAACCCTACACACTGGCAGCACGTGGCTTCTCTGCCTTGTCGCAGATTTCGAGCTACCTGAGCCCTAAACCCCAGACCCTAAACCCTAAAGCCTAGCACTGATTTCAAAGCACAGCTCCAACGCCCAAACCCTAAACACTAAACCCTAAACCCTAAACCCTAGCTCACTCTTTAAAAACATGCCTCAAAAAAGGCAGCATCAACTCTATGCTGTGTTCTTCTT